GTCTGCAGACTTTATCCCTTACTAGATAGCACACCCCTACTGTGTTGCAGTCTAGTTGTCCAATGATGTTAACAGTGTACCCCGAGTGGTAGCTCTGAGCTGTTTTTGATTCACAAATATACATTCTACAGGCTTTACATCTGGAGTTACAATGATAACATCCCCCTCTTCTATACTAGTAGGCAGAGCCACATTTTCAGTGTTAGAGTTTAAAGCTATAACATTACTATCTTCATGATACTTACGATCTTCTGAAAGTTTACTCGGAACTAAAGTTTCTTTGATAGTTTTATTACCACGATATGAAACAAATACTTTACTAGGCTGGATCACAGACTTTAAAAGGGGGTCTAGGCCAAGGATAAATTTATTCTTGTTAACTATTTTACCAATTGGAGGTAAGTTAGGGTCAAAATCACAAACTAAAGGAAAACATCTTTCACTCTTCTTACTATTAGAGCTTGTAAGGTTTTTTGAAATCAGATCATCCCATCATATATATATATATATCGTCTCGCTTTATATATATACTTACTTTGTTACTTTGTAGGGTTTCATAGAATCCTCTATCGGGCCATCGAAAAAGTCGACCCCCCGGACAGTGTAGAAACTGTTTTATCACCACTCCAATCAAGCAAGGAGTTTCCATTCCGACGGCTGTATCCTGGAGCTGGAGGCTCGTCCGGAAATGACTTCACAAAGTTCGTTAAAGCCGCTTTGAATTGCATAGGATCCTCGATGGTGTGCATATGTGTTGGGATTACATTCCATAATCGAGGTCCAGTGACTGCAAATGAGTTGTCATGTAGTGCTTGATTACGTTGACTGCTGGACTTAGCTATACTGGGCACAACTGCTTTTTGACCATGTCTGAGAGTCACCGAGAACTGGATACCAATATCATTAGGGCACTTGCAATGCAGAACTTTCCACATGTTGATGATTAAATACCGTTCTCTCCTTCTTTGCAATGACATCAGATCTAGGGCCTTTAATCTCTGCCAGTAGTTGAGGTGCTGGGTGCCATCTATTTTCAATGTAAACGTACGCTGAATCCCTTCTAGCTGTTGGATGTCCTTGTTCTTAGAGCAATTCCACAGAGGACAGCAATACTCCAGATGGCTTCTAACAAGAGACTTGTACAGAGTCATCATGGTGGCTTTGTCTCTCGTTTTGAACGCACTTAGCACCCAAGAAGCAACTTTTCCTGCGCGTTCAGCTATCCTGTTGACGTGTGGGGTCCAGGACAAATCAGCGGAAACTGTCACTCCTAGATCTTTCACCGTTTGAGTGGGGTACAGCATGTTTCCGTTAGACACTTCATATGTTTGAGCTTGGATGGCGAATGGATGATCAAACAAGGAATTCTTTGGACAATGCTTGTGAACAAGAAGCTCGAACTTATCCTCATGAAGGGCCATGTTGTTGCACTTAGCCCAATTAACAACAGAGTTGAGATCATCCTGCAGGACATCTTTGTCGGCCAAACTGTAGATATGCTTAAGAATCCTAGTGTCATCAGCAAAGAATCTGATGACAGACCCTTTAACACATAGCTTCATATCATTTATGAACAGAATGAATAACAGTGGCCCAAGAACGGTACCTTGTGGAACTCCACTGAGGATTGCGGCAGCAAACGATGATACACCATTTAACACAACACATTGCTTCCTTTCAGTCAGGAAGGATCGGATCCAGTTTACCACCTTCTCATGAAACCCCAATCTCTTCATTTTCAGAAGCAGTAACCGATGATCGACCTTATCAAAGGCTTTGGCAAAATCCAGATATATAGCGTCAGTGTCTGCATTTCTAGTAAGACCTTGAACTATATCGTCTACGTGACTTAACAGCTGGGTAATGCAGCTTCTTCCTGAGCGGAACCCGTGCTGGTTGTTGCAGAGTAATTGATTTTTCTCAATAAAGTCAACCATAACACCACGGAGGATACGTTCATACACTTTGATGATGTGCGAAGTGAGAGCAACTGGTCTGTAGTTGACTGCCTTGGCCCTGTCACCCTTTTTAAATAGTGGTGTAATGTAGGTGTCTTTGTAGAACGATGGCACTGTACCGTTTTCAAATGATTCCTCCCAAATAATACGTATAGGAGAACACAACTCCTTAGCACAGTTTTTCAAGAGAGTTGTAGGTATTCCGTCCGGTCCACAAGCAGAATCTGTAGAGATACTTTTTATAGCTGAAATGATATCTTCGTCACTAATTCTAAAGTCCTCTAGTTCTTGTGGGTGCTGGATAGAGGGAGGGGAGAAAACCGGATCCTTAACATCAGGAGAGGTCGGATCGCTAAACACAGAGCTGAACTGTTCCTGCAGCAGATCGGCCATTTTCTTGGGGTCTGTGGTTATCTCCTGGTTGCTATCAAAGAGCATGTTAATACTGGATTTAATCTTCGACAGAGACTTAGCATAACTGAAAAAGAACTTGGGATTTGTTTTGATCTTTTCTACTGCCCTGGATTCCTTTTCATCAAGTCTCTTGGTATGGGCACATCGAATATCATACTGTAGGAGTGCAACCTTGTTCCTAACATTTCTGATGTGATCGTCAGGTGCACCATTGTTGACTAAGGCATTCAGCCTTGCCTGGAGTCGGTTCCTTTTACGCCGCAAAGCATTGGTATGTTTTGGGCGCCCAGAAGGTTTAGCCTTGCGGGGAACATGAGACGAGCATATCTGAAAGAGGGTCTCAGTAAACAAGGCTGGGAAGTCTTCAAAAGAGCATGAAGAACGAAGTTGAGACCAGTTAGTGTCTTCTATCTCGTCTCTGATAGCGTCGTCTCTGATAGCGTCTCTGATGAGCGAGCTGAAGTCTGCTTGGAGAAAATCAAGGCATCTGTACGAGTTTTCATCAAACTTCGGCACTGCTGATTTCTCCTGTTCAAGTGGATTATATGCTAGCATAACATTTACCACGTGATGGTCTGACATTGTTGTGGTTTTGCATTCAACATTTGTAACAACTCGGTTGTTGTTAGTAATAAACAGGTCCAAAACATTGATTCCTCTCGTTGGACACATTACGTAGTAGAGGCTCTTACGGGCATTGTCTGCTCGATACGCTAGGGACCCCAGATATACCTTACTAGACGTATTTTTGACCGTAGAATCAATTAAAAGTGGTTTCGAGATGATTGGACTGAGTTTACGCAGGTAAAATCGCAAAAAACGATTTTCGGGCCAAAAATAGGCCAAAAAACCATGTTTTTTGATATTTTGAGCAAGTTAATTTTGTTGGCATGTCGGCAAAATTTGCATGGCAATAGCTAAAACATAGCCGCACAAGATGATATAAAAATAAAACAAATCACTCTGTTTTTACACAGGTAAAAATCCAAAAAGTGGTAAAAATGTGCCCTTTTTTGCTTAAAGTTTGAATGATTTTTTGCAGTTGTATTAAATCAACCCAACAATAGTCACATCGTGTTTGACTGAAATTTTCCTTTCCGAGAAGTACCCACTTCATATACTTTATAGAAGTTTGAATATTGTCACTCCGCAAGCGTTTTTGCCTAATTTTCGACGCGCACTACGCGCAAAAGCATTTAGTTGTTATCAATGGGCACCCGCGCGTTCATCATAAATTTCAAACAGCCATAACTCAGCGAGATTATGTCCGTTCTAGCTCATATTTTCACATCAAATAGAAAACAATGTGATCGTATTGCTGACATAACATGAATATAATTACTTTATAGGCCTAAGAGTTATAGACCGTCAAAGTTTAAAACGCGCATTGGAATAGCACGTGACTTATAAGGCTATATTTATATTTCTTAACATATTCTCGATCCTTACACATCATACTATTGTGTCCAATTAATAGTTAGGTCTCTAAACTCATAGCAGAAAACACGTATTTTTGCCCGTAAGAGCCTCTACTAATAGTAAGATGAAGCCGTGTGGCATGTAATGGTTGATACCGTATACTAATACACTTACAGCAGAGTTCACCAACGCACCCAAGATCAGACTTAAACTTGTCATACGTTGTATGACCCGCTGCGCACGAGTGCGCGGCTCCCCCTGTATCGTCGAAACTCTACAGGGGTAGTATATAGTGAAGCGACCGTGGGGGTCACCACGTGATACAACATTTTACCGGATTGGTCGAGGAGCGTGTAATACATAAACAATTGGTTCTCTATTTGAAGAGCAAGGTCACTGGGCGGCGTATGACCATATTTGGGTATACACACCAAATTTGATCGATTTTGGCCCATAAATTGGTCAAATATCAATATTTTTGAATGAAACCAACTTTATATGAAAGGTAAGCCTATACTACACATTCTCTATGAGGGGGGGTTCACCCTGATTTTTTTGTGAAACTTGGTTTCGAGATAGCAGTAGAACAAAAACTAAGACCGGTGACCGAACTTTTAAGGGGGTCCCGGACCACAAAAACCATATGACCATATTTGGGTATACACACCAAATTTGATCGATTTTGGCCCATAAATTGGTCAAATATCAATATTTTTGAATGAAACCAACTTTATATGAAAGGTAAGCCTATACTACACATTCTCTATGAGGGGGGGGGGGGGGGGTTCACCCTGATTTTTTTGTGAAACTTGGTTTCGAGATAGCAGTTGAACAAAAACTAAGACCGGTGACCGAACTTTTAAGGGGGTCCCGGACCACAAAAAACATATGACCATATTTGGGTACACACCAAATTTGATCGATTTTGGCCCATAAATTGGTCAAATATCAATATTTTTGAATGAAACCAACTTTATATGAAAGGTAAGCCTATACTACACATTCTCTATGATTATCAGCTCAGTAAATGGGCGTGACTGCCCTGCGGGCACCGTTTGGCGGTTGTGGTCCGGGACCCCCTCAAAAGTTCGGTCACCGGTCCTAGTTTGTTGGTCAACTGCTATCTCGAAAACAAGTTTCACAAAAAATCAGGGTGAACCCCCCCCCCCTAAGGTGAAAACTATGATTGAAAACGCAATGAAACCAGAGTTTAGAACGGAATCTTTATTAGAATTAAATTTATAGAAAAAAGCAACCGCCAATCCACGAAAATAAAGTCAGCGTTATTTGAAATAAATAATAATAACAAGAGGGTCCAAAATCGAATTTGAATGCAAAATGTGAATGTAAATCAACAGCAATCCCACGTCAAAAGCACATTCATATAACAAATTTCAAATATAAATCAGCTTATGTATCCAACATTATAAACTTATTCAAAATGGTATCAAGTGTATAAACTTTATCGAAGAGTAAATAGTAATCACACCAGTAGACTAAGCGTAATTCACTCCTCTTGACGAGGAGTCCTCTTCTTTGACGGATGATACTCGTCTAAATTTCTTCGCATTAGCGCACGCCGCTTTCTTCTCGAAATAACCAAAGCGCTATAATGAAGTAGCGCGCACCGGGTCAGTCCATTAAGAATGGACCACCTTTAACTCTCCCTCTGCAAACTTAGTGCCCTTAGTTCCTCCTCGCCAAGCAGCTTATCCTTGAATATGAAATAGTGGACAGCAGGACGATCAGTCAACTTGTCAACACTCGCTGCTAGTTGGTATCTGAACAAATAATAATGGTGGAAAAAAAATCACAAAATGCAGAATGTGAGGTTCAATAGAATCAATCTTTATTTAAGATAAAAGAAAATATGTTTAAAACTGCACTGACCGTCTGAGCAAGTAAGGAGGCAGGTACTGAATCTGCAGGACCTTGGTGCGAGGGTGCTGCTCCGCTATAGCGCGTGTCACAGGACCAAGCACTTCTTCTACTCCTGGCAACAAGCCAACCTCGCCTGCATGCAGGGGCTTCTTTCTTAACCTGCACGTGCTATAGTGTCACATAAATTAGGTGGCTCTCTTAACTTAAACATGCATACTGCCACATATATTAGGTGGCGCGAGTTATGATATTACAAATTGAGCCTTGAGAAAATTGTAGCGATTTTAAATGGTCCTGGATTCTGGAGAAATTTGTAAGTGAGCAAGTCGTGCGCAGTTCCCTTCGATCAACCGAATTAACAAATTCTCCATGTTCACTAAACAGTTAAATCGTTATTTCAATTTATAATATCCTCATGAAGTTACCATACCCTCTTGCATAACGATTTAACATGTTTAATGCGTCATGTAAGGGTACTAGTTGTACAGACCGCTTGTAAGTGTACAAGTTGTACAGACCGCTTGTAAGTGTACAAGTTGTACAGACCGCTTGATTTAACATGTTTAATGCGTCATGTAAGGGTACTAGTTGTACAGACCGCTTGAGCTTTCTGGAGAATGAAGATGGTGTAGCGGGGAAGCAGGGAGAGAGACAGATAGAATCCAGAGCAACATCCACAGAGTCGTCAGTATCAGAGTCCGCTGCAGTCGCGATCACCAGAGGATCGGTGGAACTGCAGCCTCCTTCTGGCACCTGAACAAACGAGTCCCTCCACGGTCCTTCCACTGCAGAATATTATTATTGTTATTAAATACTAATCACTATACTTTATGTTATACTTGTTTTATCATTCCCAAATTTTTCACCTGATTGAAATTTCATTTGGTAAATGTTGTCTCGCAAAATTTGAAAATGACAAAAACTCACATTCCTCGGGGTAAAGTTCAAGTTCAGGAATGTTGAGCTCTTTGAATATTAATGACGTCATGAGCACCTGGTTGAAGAAGAGTCCTAAGAAAGGAACGATAAAACCACGCTGCAGCCCCTTCTCCAACAAATTCTGGTAATTCCTGAAAGTAAGTTTAAAGTTAACATTTAGCACCTTCTCCAACAAATTCTGGTAATTCCTGAAAGTGAGTTAAAACGTTAACATCCAGATTTTGCGCTTCTTACGCATAGAACAAGTTTTTTAAGGATACAACATTAAGTGATACTCAGATTTCATAACCAATTAATATGATGAATATTAAGGCAACATTAACAAAATTTTGGCAATTTGCAAAACTTAAATGTTGGGCGTTCATATTCAGTTCGATTTTGGAGACCATTATTTTCACACCAAATTTTAACCATAGATTGCTATTATTTACCGTGAATTTTGAAGTCATATACTCAAATAATGAATCGGAACGCTAAAACAATTTGAAGAAGTTCAAGTAAAACAATTGTAACTGAAAATAATAACAGAGTCATAAATCTTTAGTACAGGGAATTAATAACAGCTGGTGGTTTCAGTTGAGTGACTTATTCAATTCCTGACCACAGAGTCTACGGGTTAAATTGTATTTACTCATCTGCAGATTGAATATTAAAATTTAACAGATCTAACAGATACGAAAAACTAAACGATAAAATTAAATAACAAAATTGAATATTACTAACTAAAGACATGGGTAATACCGGGGGGGGGGGGGGGGGGGTATTCATCTGGACATTGCTTGACCAATCAGCTTGCAGTATATAACGGAGGATTGCTTGCGGAGTGTAGCTCGAAAATAGCCAAAATATAAAATCCACCTCCCTATTATCACCCAGTATCAAATAAACATAAAAAGTTACAAAATATTAATGATATGATTTACTGCTATTACAAACATGATAATAATAATTAGACTAATTAAATATTAATTACGGTATCCAGCTAGTGAAATTACCTAAAACTAAACAAAACATGACATTTAAAGTGATTTATTTTCTGTGCAGCAGTCAGAATGGAAATAACGCTAAAATTATTAAAAAGGGACTTGTGTACACAAAGTAATCACAGATACAATCTGGATTCGAATTCCTACTTAATTTCGCTAACATTAACTAACACCTTCAAGGAACATAAAGATATCGTCCAGCACAGCTATCCTATCAGAATCATGTCGTTTTGTCTCCGAAATGACGCTGTCCAAGTGTTCTGCATTGTCCACATCCTCGGCCCCAACCTCAGGATGAATTCCACTGAGGACCACACGGCCACACCCCACTACACACCCCACTACAGCTGGGGCGGGGGAGGAGCCCCCCTCTGCTGGGGCAGGGGAGGAGCCCCCCTCATACGCCCACATTGTTGTGGGGTGTGTTGTGGGGTGTGGCTGGTTCAGCTGGTTCTCCATCTTCAGGTTAAAGTAGCAGCCCCCGTTAAAATACACTTTATGAGATCCACTGAGTGCGCCCTGACAAGAGCCAGGTTTTGATATTGATACAACCCTCTCCCCACTGTTGTCTTGGTAACGGAAGCCAGGGTACTGTGGTCCAACAGCTGTGCCCGGGAAGAAACCCAGCTCCCTACTCGTGTCTATCTCCATTTCAGGGTCGCCTTTACAGAAGTCTATTTTTGAGCTACCGAAATAAGCACCTGAAAGAGTATACAACTGAAATAAATTAATTCCAAATTATAGATTTAGACTATAGATATATAGATATTTAGACTTATTCTTCAAACAACGCTAAATTTCTAATCCATAGCCTTACTTACAAATCTGAAATATTACCTGCACAAATTCCCAGATACCACCCACCGCTCTCTACAAACTCCCTGATCTTCTGATTTCCGGGACCCTTTAATTTGTCATGATACGGACTGTCCCGTCCTCCAGGGAAAACTATTCCTACACAACTAATTGTCCATGTTCCTGACAATATATCTTGTGCTGTGAGGTTGATGGTAGTGTAAGAACGCGCGGTGAGGGTTTTGCACGTGCAGTCTACACACCAAGGCGATGCACCTTCGTCACTGTAAACTCCTACCAGCCGACTTGTGTGTCCATTAGACATCCTTGATGAATTGTTAGGTTAGTCATCATTAAATAGTAAGACTCGATCTAAAGTGTAACTTTTGACTCTCGATTTCCTAACGTAATATATATGTAGTACTGAGAAGGTAGTATTTAGCATAGTAGGTCGGTGAGTGTTCAAAAAGGTGCGACGAACGACAAGACTTTAATGTTTTTAACATGTGTTCGCGGCTTAACGCCGCGCAAGTCTGTTGCTTATCAATACAATATATGTTGGAGCGCCATCCATTTATTCCATTTACCGCGTCCAGAAGGCGGGCCGCGGGCGGGTTTTACCTCGTTAACGGAAGATATTTGTTTGTATATTTGATGAGAAACAGGACCAAAATAGAAACAGTCATAAGTCAGGCAGTTTACATATCTAATAACAAGTTAGACGAGATAGACTCCAAATTTATAGCCCTCCCCTCCGCCCCCTCCCCCTACAAAAAATATAAAATTGGCTCCTACTTCTGTAGATACTTTCCGTTTCTACCTCCTGTTCTCCTCTGGTCCCTAGGGTCAGCTGACTCCGGCCAGAGGATAATTACCGACTGCCAATATTTGATGCCTAGGCAGTCGAGACCTTCAATGTATAATAAATTAATATCACCACTATTAAGATAAAACTTACACATGTAGCATTCTTTATTAACTAATTACAGATTTATTTTTACTGCACCCATCACAAGACCACTCACGATTTCAGACAAAGAATTTTCATGTGACAAATTATGTAATTCTGTGAGATAAGTTTACCTGATTTTGGTAGCATAAACAGGGCATTACCCTGGACCAAGCAAATAAGGAAACATTGAACATGGTATAATTAATATATAATGTATTATGTATTATATGTGTAATGTATTATGTGTGTAATGTGTGTCGTATCAGGGTGCCTCATTCGAAAGTCGCAAAAAAGATCAATAAAATTATATATGTTAGGTATTTTTATACTGATGTATAATATACATTATACTAACTCAATCTAAATTATTACTTATTGAACACTGTGATGTTGGCGAATGATAACATTATCACGGTATTCCAGGTGTAAACACGGAATTAAGACGATTAAGATGTAACGAAAAACCAGTTTCAAGGCAACTAATAAGTGTTTATTATTTTCGGAGATTGCATTTTGTTTGGCTCAGATTACTGGCTGAGCAGTATTATTTCTGTAAATCTGTTTCATTGTAAGTTTATTCTTTTACAGGAGAACTGTTCTTGTCAAACGTACTTACTCGTAATTGTTTGTGTGTTTCCAAATCTCGACCAAATTGTTGAATGTTTTCCTGGACTGGCCCTTTATCTGAAAGTAAGGAATGTGTAACGTTCTACACTCTACATCTGTAAACATTTCTCCTGCCGAGTCGTTATTTTGACAGAGTTCTGATCAATTTGTTGCTCTTTAACTAAATTATCGGCTGTTTGCCCAGCAACGATCCATTAAAAGTCTTCTAAAGCATTTTGTGAATTTTGTAACTCACCAGTTTCCAACTTTTCTCTAGTCGGTAGATAGGGTTACTTTGCAGACCAGCGATTATTGCACGAAGAGAACTGTAGTTGTTCTGTTGTCGCAACTTCTCTGACACCTGCAAATATGGCAATGGAGATAAGAAGATATGTGTCATTTTAGCCATGATATGACAAAATAACTTTAACCCCGTCTAAGTTTAAATATGACATTTAAGCGAGTAAATATTGGCTTGTTTACAGCATAACGTTTATCCGTACATTTAGAATTAAACCAATTCCAGAATGTAAGATCTAGTTGAGTTGAATAATTGCAGTCTTTCTCACATCCCCTTTACTCTCACATTCTTATATTTCCCTGACTTCCCTACTTAAATCTAATAGAAGTCTTAAATAAACTTAATGTATCATTGTTAATAGGTTCTTGTAATTCCTCATTCTTTCACTGAACACACAGAGGGGATAACCCGACTGTAGATAATCCACACACAGAGGGGATAACCCGACTGTAGATAATCCACACACAGAGGGGATAACCCAACTGTATATAATCCACACACAGAAGCACAGAGGGGATAACCCGACTGTAGATAATCCACACACAGAGGGGATAACCCGACTGTAGATAATCCACACACAGAGGGGATAAACCGACTGTAGATAATCCACACACAGAGGGGATAACCCAACTGTATATAATCCACACACAGAAGCACAGAGGGGATAACCCGACTGTAGATAATCCACCACAGAGGGGATAACCCGACTGTAGATAATCCACACACAGAGGGGATAACCCGACTGTAGATAATCCACACACAGAGGGGATAACCCGACTGTAGATAATCCACACACAGAGGGGATAACCCGACTGTAGATAATCCACACACAGAGGGGATAACCCGACTGTAGATATCCACACACAGAGGGGATAACCCGACTGTAGATAATCCACACACAGAGGGGATAACCCGACTGTAGATAATCCACACACAGAGGGGATAACCCGACTGTAGATAATCCACACACAGAAGCACAGAGGGGATAACCCGACTGTAGATAATCCACACACAGAGGGGATAACCCGACTGTAGATAATCCACACACAGAGGGGATAACCCGACTGTAGATAATCCACACACAGAGGGGATAACCCGACTGTAGATAATTCACACACAGAGGGGATAACCCGACTGTAGATAATCCACACACAGAGGGATAACCCGACTGTAGATAATCACACAGAGGGGATAACCCGACTGTAGATAATCCACACACAGAGGGGATAACCCGACTGTAGATAATCACACACAGAGGGGATAACCCGACTGTAGATAATCCACACACAGAGGGGATAACCCGACTGTAGATAATTCACACACAGAGGGGATAACCCGACTGTAGATAATCCACACACAGAGGGGATAACCCGACTGTAGATAATCCACACACAGAGGGGATAACCCGACTGTAGATAATCCACACACAGAGGGGATAACCCGACTGTAGATAATCCACACACAGAGGGGATAACCCGACTGTAGATAATCCACACACAGAGGGGATAACCCGACTGTAGATAATCCACACACAGAGGGGATAACCCGACTGTAGATAATCCACACACAGAGGGGATAACCCGACTGTAGATAATCCACACACAGAGGGGATAACCCGACTGTAGATAATCCACACACAGAGGGGATAACCCGACTGTAGATAATCCACACACAGAGGGGATAACCCGACTGTAGATAATCCACACACAGAGGGGATAACCCGACTGTAGATAATCCACACACAGAGGGGATAACCCGACTGTAGATAATTCACACACAGAGGGGATAACCCGACTGTAGATAATCCACACACAGAGGGGATAACCCGACTGTAGATAATCCACACACAGAGGGGATAACCCAACTGTAGATAATCCACACACAGAGGGGATAACCCGACTGTAGATAATTCACACACAGAGGGGATAACCCGACTGTAGATAATCCACACACAGAGGGGATAACCCGACTGTAGATAATCCACACACAGAGGGGATAACCCAACTGTATATAATCCACACACAGAAGCACAGAGGGGATAACCCGACTGTAGATAATCCACACACAGAGGGGATAACCCGACTGTAGATAATTCACACACAGAGGGGATAACCCGACTGTAGATAATCCACACACAGAGGGGATAACCCGACTGTAGATAATTCACACACAGAGGGGATAACCCGACTGTAGATAATTCACACACAGAGGGGATAACCCAACTGTAGATAATCCACACACAGAGGGGATAACCCGACTGTAGATAATCCACACACAGAGGGGATAACCCGACTGTAGATAATTCACACACAGAGGGGATAACGCGACTGTAGATAATCCACACACAGAGGGGATAACCCGACTGTAGATAATTCACACACAGAGGGGATAACGCGACTGTAGATAATCCACACACAGAGGGGATAACCCGACTGTAGATAATCCACACACAGAGGGGATAACCCGACTGTAGATAATCCACACACAGAGGGGATAACCCGACTGTAGATAATCCACACACAGAGGGGATAACCCGACTGTAGATAATCCACAAACAGAGGGGATAACCCGACTGTAGATAATTCACACACATAGGGGATAACCCGACTGTAGATAGTTCACACACAGTTCAAATAGTTCACACACATAATATGTTGTCACACTGTCTACACTACCCACACTTAAGTTGTCGACAACACTTTGACATGCTAACTAGCGAGTATATTCATATTACTATGCTACTAGTCATATTATACTAGCCTTCTTCACACCTTTGCTATTATTAATAATGTACTTCTAGTTTCCCTGTTTTTGTTTATCAGTGGTTGCTGCAGATTTCACAGATTTATAAACTCACGGTTATCAGGTATCTGATGAGGCGGGCCCTGGCTCGAGGTGTAGTCTCGTGTAATATCAGCTGTACCACCAACATGCTTACGTGGTTGAAGAATGTCACCGCTTCTCGAATATTGGGCAACTTGTGGCTCTGAAACATTGCAGACTATTGAATATACAGATGGTTAATATCTTAAAGTTAAAGTGATTTTGAAATTGAAATATTGGAATAGTACTTCCAAAGGTACTATCACAGTAGTTAAAGAAAATGGTTTGATCATGATTCTGACGAATTTGTTACAAAATCTATTGACATCATTATCATGATTATTAACTATTATCATGATTATTAACTATCACTATTGACATCATTATTCACTATCACTATTATTCACTATCACTTGGTCCGGGTAACATGTGTGGTACTAGTCCAGTAACATGAAGTCATGAATCATGATGCTAGTTAGACTTAATAACACGACACAGTAATAATTATTAGCGGGAATCACTACACCGGGATGTTGAATACTTATAAAGTACTTAGTGAACTAGCTTTGTCAAGGTTTTATACGTCATACTTAAGACTCCAGTTGCACTGGAAGCCAGTTTACATTTCTTTTGTTTTGTTTCCTTGCTAAACTTTGTGTTGTGATATTTCTTGAAGCTTATCAATTCTTGCATACTGATAATTATACTTTTAAAAATCATAATGGACTGGACCGCAAGTAACACAGATCTTAATAAAAAGTTGCATATTTAGAAGTAAAAAGATAGCTTGTCGAGCATTTAAAATGTAAGAGATAGGACTTGTGTACAAGGAACGATATATATAACGCATATTTGCAAGCTGAAATCACACCGCTAATTTACAACACTACTTTCGACATATTTGTTTGTAGAGCTGTGTGTAGCTGATGACTGATCGTGCACGCTAAGCAATCTCATTAATGTTGTTTTATAACACACCATGGTTTATAAAATTTCACTAGAGAGATAATTATCATGCTGAATAACTGTTGGCATAAAGCTCTATTTCCAGTCGTTTGTTTTGATACGTCACATTATCATCACTTCCTGTCGACGGCTCTTGTACGGAATTCAACAGGTGTTTTCTGCTTCACCCGGAGAGTCCGGAGTGTTGATAGTGTCAGGATACACAGTCTCGGATAATATATCATAATATGAAACTAAAGACAGGCTCGACTGCCGAGATTGGAAATCTTAGAACAGTCTTACTTACGAACCAGTAAGTGAGACAACAGTCTCACTCACAAGCCAGTTAGTGAGATAACAGTCTCACTCACAAGCCAGTAAGTGAGATAACAGTCTCACTCACAAGCCAGTAAGTGAGATAACAGTCTCACTCACAAGCCAGTAAGTGAGATAACAGTCTCACTCACAAGCCAGTAAGTGAGATAACAGTCTCACTCACAAGCCAGTAAGTGAGATAACAGTCTCACTCACAAGCCAGTAAGTGAGACAACAGTCTCACTCACAAGCCAGTAAGTGAGATAACAGTCTCACTCACAAGCCAGTAAGTGAGATAACAGTCTCACTCACAAGCCAGTAACTTGCTGGTTCAGTAAGTGAGATCTGTTGTTACAGCTGCCAATCTTCTGACGTGGTTTGACCTGATTTTGTTACCCATTAGTCCACATTCCACAAAGCAAATACTTTCTCAGTTTGTTGTTCTGTAGAAGTGAGGAGCATTTACCAGAGTGGCCGATTTTCAGTTTTATAAATTATTAGTGTTCAATACAGTTTCCACATACTACCACTACAGTAGTAGTAGTAGTTGTACAGTTTCCACATACTACCACTACAGTAGTAGTAGTAGTACAGTTTCCACATACCACCACTACAGTAGTAGTAGTAGTTCAGTTTCTACAAGTAGCTTATTAAAGTAGGGTATTCCTCGGCTTTTCTAAACCTTCGTTAAATTGTTGCTCTAATAGAGTCCCGATGACATAAGCTTTGTATTCCTTAAACACGTGTAACCCGGGCGGTCCGGTGTGTTAAAGCTTTTAAAGGCACATTCTTACAACAACCTTCCAACACTTTTATCAAGGTTTACCTAGACCTAGTAACATCGACTAAAACATATATCAGAAGTGACAACAATCTATACCACGTGCATCTATCAATCAATATTAACAAACCTCCTAAGTAAAAGGGTATATCTATAAACTGGTGTATACGAAATAAGAACACAGGACTTGAACACAAGTACTATTTCAGGTAGAAGGTCCTGATGTACAATGGTAGGTACCAGAAGGCACATAAAAGATAACAACTGTCATAACCAATCTCTCTTTCCTCAGTTTGTATCGAGTTTCCAATAGTGTTCCTGTTTAAAGGAGTAATCTTGTCTATCGGAATGGGAATTCAATTATTTTGAAAATGACTCATGACTATAAACTAGAAGTACCGTCAAATCAGACAAACCTGTCAGTTAGTCTAATTCACCTCTCCCAATACAGTTACACGTAAATGTGTGACAACTCATATGTTGTTTGTAATTTGCATGTAAAACGCTAATCATTCACGTTTGTTGCTTCCGCTTTTCTGTTAGATCAACCACAACAACAAGATTGCAAATCTCTGAAGCGTTTAATTGTTGGCTGCAAATGTGTCATTGTTAGCAGCTGATTTGTGCCTTCATTGATACAACAGATGTTTTATTATCTGTGCACGTACCAATAATATCTAGGAACCTTATCATAATAATAATCCCTAATCTCAGCTGATGCCCAGTTACTTGTGTGCTAGTAGTATTAGAGTACCTGCCCAGTTACTTGTGTGCTAGTAGTATTAGAGTACCTGCCCAGTTACTTGTGTGCTAGTAGTGTTAGAGTATCTGCCCAGTTACTTGTGTGCTAGTAGTATTAGAGTACCTGCCCTGTTACTTGTGTGCTAGTAGTATTAGAGTACCTGCCCAGTTACTTGTGTGCTAGTAGTATTAGAGTACCTGCCCAGTAACTTGTGTGCTAGTAGTATTAGAGTACCTGTCCTGTTACTTGTGTGCTAGTAGTGTTAGAGTATCTGCCCAGTTACTTGTGTGCTAGTAGTATTAGAGTACCTGCCCTGTTACTTGTGTGCTAGTAGTATTAGAGTACCTGCCCTGTTACTTGTGTGCTAGTAGTATTAGAGTACCTGCCCTGTTACTTGTGTGCTAGTAGTATTAGAGTACCTGCCCAGTTACTTGTGTGCTAGTAGTATTAGAGTACCTGCCCAGTTACTTGTGTGCTAGTAGTGTTAGAGTATCTGCCCAGTTACTTGTGTGCTAGTAGTATTAGAGTACCTGCCCAGTTACTTGTGTGCTAGTAGTATTAGAGTACCTGCCCTGTTACTTGTGTGCTAGTAGTATTAGAGTACCTGCCCTGTTACTTGTGTGCTAGTAGTATTAGAGTACCTGCCCTGTTACTTGTGTGCTAGTAGTATTAGAGTACCTGCCCTGTTACTTGTGTGCTAGTAGTATTAGAGTACCTGCCCTGTTACTTGTGTGCTAGTAGTATTAGAGTACCTGCCCAGTTACTTGTGTGCTAGTAGTATTAGAGTACCTGCCCTGTTACTTGTGTGCTAGTAGTATTAGAGTACCTGCCCAGTTACTTGTGTGCTAGTAGTATTAGAGTACCTGCCCTGTTACTTGTGTGCTAGTAGTATTAGAGTACCTGCCCTGTTACTTGTGTGTTAGTAGTATTAGAGTACCTGCCCTGTTACTTGTGTGCTAGTAGTATTAGAGTACCTGCCCAGTTACTTGTGTGCTAGTAGTATTAGAGTACTTGCCCAGTTACTTGTGTGCTAGTAGTATTAGAGTACCTGCCCTGTTACTTGTGTGCTAGTAGTATTAGAGTACCTGCCCAGTTACTTGTGTGCTAGTAGTGTTAGAGTATCTGCCCAGTTACTTGTGTGCTAGTAGTATTAGAGTACCTGTCCTGTTACTTGTGTGCTAGTAGTATTAGAGTACCTGCCCTGTTACTTGTGTGCTAGTAGTATTAGAGTACCTGCCCTGTTACTTGTGTGCTAGTAATATTATCTAGTACCTGCCCTGTTACTTGTGTGCTAGTAGTATTAGAGTACCTGCCCTGTTACTTGTGTACTAGTAGTATTAGAGTACCTGCCCTGTTACTTGTGTGCTAGTAGTAATAGAGTACCTGCCCTGTTACTTGTGTGCTATTGTTCTGTAAAACCTCATGACATTCCACAGAGTTATACATTCCCTCCAGGGCTCTGCTGCTTTCTCAAGACTCAATTAGTGACAGCAAACCTTTCGTTATCTTTATATTGCTTTTGCGTCTGTTAGTTTTATTTCTATTGAAGTGTCGCAAAGTTAACAATATAACCTCTATTGACTCTGTTTCTTAGTAAATAATTTACCAGTATCACTTATCAGTAAAAAGTTTATTTAAGTTCCAATATATTTGTACCAGAGAAATATCTTGTGCGAACTAGATGGTCAGTTTGTGACTTGTGAGAATGTATATTACACACGACGTGCAATACAATCTGTTGGAATGATCCATTAGCAGCAGCACCGATCAGTCCTCATATGGTAGTGTATACAGGAGGATAGAGGCCGGACCTTAATACCACTAGTATTCTGACATTGTAAGGAACTTGTAGGACTTTAAACAGCACATATCGTATATCATGTTGTCGTGTGCACCGTTGAAAGGTCGGTTAGTTAAGGCAGGAACAGCTGCAATCCTGGAGGTGGTCTGAATAGCTACTCTGTTGTATTATTCTGTTGTATTATATTCTATTTCTCAGTTTGTATCTTGTACCTGTCATCTGTTTATTAACCTGTTTGCACTACTGTAGGATTATTACTGTATGATTGTAAGCCTGCTTCTCATTTCCGTACGGCTTTTCTCAGCCAAGCTGAAGATGTGCTCCCTGTAAAACTACACCTGCTTTTATTTTAGATTTGGTTATGTAGTCACGTTTAAATGTTTCCTACTTTTTGAGTTACAAACATCTGACAATCAGGACAACAATAAGTCAACTGTAATCTGGTACACCTAGTGTGCTACATCTGGATTATGTTAACACTGATTTACCAACTGTAATCTGGTACACCTAGTGTGCTACATCTGGATTATGTTAACACTGATTTACCAGAACGTAGTTTAATATTGTTTCCTTTAATTCCCTCCCTTCCTAATCCACGAAACTGGCTTTTTATAAAGTTATTAATAGCTCCTAAAACATATAATAATAATAACCATAATTTTGTATTTAAGGAACAAGTAGTTTCAGTAATCTTTTTGTATTTTCGTTTTTAACAGTTACATCATGTCTAGATAATAACATTAACCTTTGAAGCACTGACCCTTATCAAAAGTGACCAATGTGCTATCAAATTTCTATCAAATTTCTTAGACAGTTTCAAGTATGCTGTGCTCTAGTTCGGAACGGGTTTTAACCGTGCAACAAGTCAATATAGGGCTGTTGAAGGGCTGACTCTCGAGTAACATTTTTATAATCAGACGAAATAACTAGAATAAAACTTACTTTAAACTTTATTTTATTTTAATCTCGGTTACAATGTTGTAGGGTCTCTATTGAACACTCAATTATTTAATTTCCATTACTGTTTCGCTTTTCAATTTTCTGTCATGAAAATTAAGGGGTCGTCACGTTTGCAACTGGTCCTCATAAATCTCATTGTCTATAATTGATAAATTCAATCAATCAATGCAAATGCATTTTAGTTTTCTCTTCATAATTTATAGGGTACTAGGGCCCCAGAATATAACAGAATATCCAATTACTTGTAATCTAATGACCTCCATATATCATCTAGTTACGACAGCCCTATATCACTTCCTAATTCCTGCTTATTCTGTATGTTCCTGTGTTGGCAACTCATTATTATACATTTATATTTTGTAGTAAGGTCTGTAGTTTGTAGTTTGTGTGCCTTTTGTAGCTGTGTTGATATCTTTAATAAAATCTAGATCCAGCAGTGAAAAACCAAGAAATTGAAAGGAAAGGGCCCTTGGATTGCTAGGAAGTAAAATTAAAAATTCATGCGCATCTCTGTGAATAAAATATGATTTGTACAATCTTTTGCGCCAGTCTTGAACTATAGCATTTAATTTCTAAGTTCTCCTGTTCGAGTATTAACATGTTCACATTCCTTACTATCTTACCTTATATTTATTAAAATGTGGAGTACAGTTGACTCACATCTCCATAATTGCCCTAATATCAAGTTGTCATCATGATTATTATATACCAGACATCTTAGTGATTACCAGGGAATACCACTAACTCCTCATCAAGTGTGTACTATACTAGGCACATAGTTTAGTTATTTTGGTTACTTTAGTGTATTACTATTTACTGCGTGCCACGAATCATGATCCAGTGTCAGATTTGTTCAGACTGATTTGTTGATATCCTGTTCACAAATCCTTATAAGCTTGTTACATGCTGTTTGTACAGGACATTGTCTTGTCGCGGTTAATATTTAGCGATATTTACAGGAACCAGATTTTATTAACTGACCATTTGAATTGTTCCATTCGCAATGTGCTTTTGTTCTTAAATTGAGTGGTTGAGTTAAACGAAACGAACTTAGATAAGATTATTTTGTCTATTCCGCTGAATATTTCGGTAAGAAAGTTAAAACTAATGACTTATTTGTGAGACATGTCTCACCACCTCGGTACCTAGTTTTTAACTAGCGGTCACGAAACAACCACCCACAAATATTACATTAAGAAAGTAAAGGCTGCCTAAAATAATGGTGAATATCAGTATATTGACCATGTGGTGAATATTATTCTGAATTTTACCGCCGCGTGATGTGGTGACGGTCAGAGCTTCTTACTGTAGTTTGAAGTTAGTTGTTAACGTTAGGATCCTTTATGGAATCCTTTTAAAATATAACCGTGACGAAATGTTTGCATCAAGCACGCTATCAGATCATAGTTACACTCTATATAAGGACATGCTATTATCTATTTTGACACTCACCAACTTGCTATCCCTCTCGCTACAAGCCGCCAACTTGCTATCCCTCTTGACTTTCAGATCGAAACCCTATAGTTGCTAGTTCAGGGCAGCAGTACACCACTACCAGCGTCGTATTGGCTTGCTTTTCAGAGTGGCTTATTGACCTGTCAACTGTCCTCCTACTTGGGAGGGTATTCTGCATTTTGTATTATAAGATATAATAATAACCCTCAGTATTACAAGCTGGGTATTGTAATTAGCAAGTGTGCGGACTGACTGCACACTCTTACCGCGGAGTCAGTTCTTGTAGTTTAGTTGTTCGCTTCTTGTACTACTACAATATTACAGCGTTGTAGCGTTCTTTCTAGTTGTTAGACCTTTATTGAAAGTCGTGACATTCCAACATTTAACTTTTATTCTTAAACCTTCTTGAACATATTTTAGTTTTTATATTGCTTTATCACACGTTTTGGTGTTTGTTTTCCACTATAAATAAACCTAATTCAATCTAACTTCATTAGAAAAAGAGACAACTCCAACTATGTTACTGGTGGGTGCAGTAAGCAGTACTATAGCAGCGATATTTTCTGTTATAGCAATGAGCATGTTCTTTAATCCCGGAGCCAAGATTCGTAAGTTTCCATACACAAAATAACGCATGATGATCTACAAAACTTTCAACTGAAAACAGATTTATAGCAGCTCTATCTTAAAATAGATTTATAGCAGCTCTATTTTAAAATAGATGTATAGCAGCTCTATCTTAAAGCCTAAACTTGCACTTATATTATTACTTGAGTGATATCATGAAATCCTGAACTTTGAATTTCTTAATTCGACATACATTTTATAATTAATGGCAAATTAAATTCTATTGATTTCTTTTTTATCTGATACAATGCATGAGAATGAAAATAGGGTATTAATAAAGTTAATAAAAACCCCTCGGCAGGTTTCGCAGTTATAATAAGTTATCTGTTATTGGTTCTGGTGATATTGAGTGTAGCAGTAACTCTCATTAGATGGTTTCAACTTTTCATCAACACAGGTAAAATGCTATTTAAAAATTACAGTTTTATGACCATTTTTATCAACCCTTTTGTTTTTCTTCGACAGATTTAATGAGGTTACTATTCGCTTGAAAGAATTTGGTGACCTAACTTAGTTTCTTTTTTCAGGAAGATTGGGAAAGAATAAATTCTCACAAAAAAGTAAGTAAGGTAGCTATTTTCTAAGTCTAATAGCATTCGTTAAGCTGAACTTCGAACTGATCGCTTAATCTAGTTTTACTATTTAGAGCTAAATAAATTTTAATTCCGATCTTTGCCTTTGTGATGGATTACCAAGTGCAATCGTTGTTGTCTGACATACATTTTTTTATATGTTGAATTCGTACCTTTTAAACGTTTTATTGCAAAACTGATTTGACTTTTTACACTATTTTTCTATTATATTTATGGAATACATATTATACTATTATAGAATAGAACAAAATTGGATCTGATTTTGAACACTTGAATGTGATTTTAAAAATATCATCACTTAAGTCTTAACAAATTCATTTAAATCAGTAATACTTCTTCAGATAAAAGAAAGTTTCGGATCACATTCATTGTTTTAGGGATATTATGTGGTAAGCGCAAAATAACATCTCTTATTTTTTTTGCTTCGTTAATATTATTTTCAATCAATTAATGCAGCGTAATCTTAATTCTGTACAATTTCATTTTTGTTCACTAGGGACAAAATGAGAGTCCCCAGTCTCATGATCGAGAGAGCGAAAACGAAACAAATTTAATTTAATTGGGTTACAAATTAAAATACCAGATGTTACAGACAAACTTCCAATTTCAGTAATACTCGCCATCGTCAGTGCAATTGGGATCTTTATGTTCGCAACAAAGCTAAAAACGGTCAGTGGCAAACTTGGCATGGGTAAAGAAAAGGAAGACACAAGCGTTGTTTTGGTAGAAACCAAAGCAGAAGAAGAAGAAGAAGTAGACAGCAGTTGGTATAATGAAACTTGCGCTAAAAACGAGACAGGAACAGCGTGCCAGCTTTGCGGGCAGTGCCCAGACGAGCAGGCCTGTAATGTTTGTCAGGGGAGTCCAATATGGTGCGGGACGTGCGAGTGTGATCCAAATATGCAAGGGCCTCTAAGGTGCGGATGGTGGAGAAAGAGGCTTGCAAAAGAACAGGAAAGCGATAAATTGGAGACAGAACAAGAATCGAGCGAAGGTGACAGCACTGAATCTGAAACAGAGAAAAAGAACCCGATGCAAATGTTGCAAGAATTTGTAGGAGAGCCTGAACCAGATTCACAGTGCTACAACGTTAGTTACGGACTGAGGGGGATCAGAAGAACGTTCTGTCAGCTCTACGAACTTACTGATAGCTGGCAATGTAAAAATGGAACTGATATTTTCTTTGATATGGAAGAAACCAGGCGGAGAATAATGTGTATAGGTGGTGTTGTTGGAGAAGGGGCAACTAAGCGGTTCATAGTGTCAGGACTGCTGGTTGTAAGCATTATTGGGCACCTAGTGAGTGTCGCTAGTATCTGGTGCACTGGACAAGCTGAGCAGGCCTCTGAGAAGGGGGAGGGGTACAAGCTGCAGTCTGATGAAAAGGAATGTGGTGATGAAGTGAAGGAGGAGGGAAGTGGTGGCAATGAAGACGAAGAGGAAGAGTTTAAAGAGACTGACACACTAACGGAGATAAAACTCTAAAAGCGAGCATCTCCATTCTCCTCTGGACATTCTCCAGAAAGCAGTTCCAACTTAAGATTATTTACTGTTTTCAATATAATTTTCTAACTTTTTAATTTTCCAAATATTTTATATCGTGCCGACTGCCGAGCAACGACATAAAGAAGTAGACTAGGAAATTTCTAAGTCTTTAACCAGATCATTCCATGAAATTTTGTATCTATTTCATAAGGTATTTAATATGATAGTTTCAGATCATCAGAAAATTGTAAAGACCATGTTTGAAACATGAGTATTACATTAAAATTTTTTGATTACCCATTGTGATTTTGGATTATTTGATATCATTATTTTGTTGTTGTGGAAATATTTTAACATATTTTAAATTTAAATGGATGCCACGTGTCGTTATTCTATTATAACAGACGGAAAGGGGATACCACATTTTGTGATGTTGACATCTGAACTTGTTATGAAGCCTTCTATTGACTAATGATTCTTTACGATATTACTCCATTTTTATCACTAACTTAATCCAACTCTTTGCTTGCTCAATTCGCTTTTTCTAAATTGTAGGCACGTAATCCACCTTGTTGATATCCTCCCCCAATTCCAATTTGATTTCCTAATCACAGCTACCAGGATAGATTATGTCGCTGGTGGGTGCAATCAGCGCTTCTATCTCCGCGTTATTTTCCTTGATCGCATTATGCATGTTCTTCAATCCTTCTGCCAAGATCGGTAAGTTTGATCAGATAATGAAGGTGGAAAGAGCGCTGGTTTATGGTCACTGTATAGATTACAATTATCATACCATATACCATATAATTTATGTTCTTAAATTAATCACGTGCCATATCTTTCGCATGCAAAGCATATTTTATTTCATATTTCTCATACGCATTTCAGGTAATTTAGCACCACATTTGTTTCAAATGTTAATTGTAACCTATACATAAATAGTAAACAAAAGCTTCCCGCTCATTCTTATGTAAATAAAGCTGGGAACTCTTGTTTTGGCAAGCGGCCGATACTGCTCTCAGTTCATCCTAAACGTTATTTTAAATAACAATATCTGTGTGAAACTTCTTCATTTTTCGTGCTTAGATCAAAATTTATGATTTTGATTTAGTTTGAACGTCTCATTTGTGCTAAAACATTGAAGTGTCACAATCTCACGAAAAACAGATGCAGTGGAAATGAACTATCAACTAAATAATTCTTTAATAAAATTAACTAACTTTCCTCTGACAGGTTTTGCAGTTATAATAAGTTATCTGCTGCTGGTTCTGGTGATCGTTGGTCTGACGGTTACTTTCATCAGATGGTTACAATTCCTTAGCAACTCAGGTAAATTCCTTAGCAACTCAGGTAAATTCCTTAGCAACTCAAGTAAATTCCTTAGCAACTCAGGTAAATTCCTTAGCAACTCAGGTAAATTCCTTAGCAACTCAAGTAAATTCCTTAGCAACTCAGGTAAATCCCTTAGCAACTCAGGTAAATTCCTTAGCAACTCAGGTAAATTCCTTAGCAACTCAGGTAAATTCCTTAGCAACTCAGGTAAATTCCTTAGCAACTCAGGTAAATTTCTTAGCAACTCAAGTAAATTCCTTAGCAACTCAGGTAAATTCCTTAGCAACTCAGGTAAATTCCTTAGCAACTCAAGTAAATTCCTTAGCAACTCAGGTAAATCCCTTAGCAACTCAGGTAAATTCCTTAGCAACTCAGGTAAATTCCTTAGCAACTCAGGTAAATTCCTTAGCAACTCAGGTAAATTCCTTAGCAACTCAGGTAAATTCCTTAGCAACTCAGGTAAATTCCTTAGCAACTCAAGTAAATTCCTTAGCAACTCAGGTAAATTCCTTAGCAACTCAGGTAAATTCCTTAGCAACTCAAGTAAATTCCTTAGCAACTCAGGTAAATCCCTTAGCAACTCAGGTAAATTCCTTAGCAACTCAGGTAAATTCCTTAGCAACTCAGGTAAATTCCTTAGCAACTCAGGTAAATTCCTTAGCAACTCAGGTAAATTTCTTAGCAACTCAGGTAAATTCCTTAGCAACTCAGGTAAATTCCTTAGCAACTCAGGTAAATTCCTTAGCAACTCAGGTAAATTCCTTAGCAACTCAGGTAAATTCCTTAGCAACTCAGGTAAATACGGATACTTTTATACTATACTTACAATGCACTAAAACTTTCCATAATGGTGGGTGAAGTTTTTTAATAACAAAGTTGAAATATTATATAAAATGTTTTATTGAACCTTATTTCAGAGAAATTGGAGAATACAAAGTGCTACAATAACAGTGAGTACCCAACCATTACCAACTCCTGTGAAATTACTTTCAGATTTAAGCCCACAACACAATACCATAATATTGTAACCAGTAAAAAACGATGGTCACTTCCAATTTGAATAACATATTACTTTCGAAATGAAGCAAAATTGCAATCCTTGAATGATTCTGATTACGGTAATCCTGGTTGATATATTGTTCTAAATTACTTAGCAAATGATATGATTAAGTTCAAACTATTTCCCTTCTTACTTCTGCTTGATCTATTTAGCATTTAAACGTTTTCAGACAAAAGGAAGTTTCGAATTGCCCTCATCATACTTGGTATCGTGTGTGGTAAGTTCTTATTCATTTAACAGTCATCCTTTTTTTCAACATTATTCATACTGACAGATTGGTCGTTAAAATACCACTTGTCAGCTTGAATCTTAAACTATATTAATTAGTTGCAATACCAGCATAGTATATTATACTGGCTACAAAATATAATCATGATGATAAATATGATAATAGCGATTCTAGATTCTTAACCGATAGTTTAAATTCGATATCTAGCGGTAGCTAACGCTTGATAGTGACAATTAGTGACAATTAGTGACAATAGCGCTAACTTTATGACACTTTTTCGATATGGCTATCAGGCGCTATATAAGATTACATAGCTGATAGCGCTACCGATCGCTATCTTATATCAGTTGAAAATTTAAATAATAAAATCTTGGGTCGATATTATCCTACTATACCTCTAGAGCCAGGTAATCCTGACATGTAACTTGTCAAATATTTTAGTTTGTGATCATATAAATGTAATAAAATCGGAAATCGTAATCCTCAAAATCTCTGGTGAGTAGATTGCACTCTCACTTATAACGGCTTTATTAGGAGGATTACATTATCATAACTATAGCTATAGTGCAGTGAGATAACTTATATTAGACAGTTGCTCTTTGGTTGTTAGATAGATACTGCAAGATGCTGCTAGATGCTGCTCGTTCTAGTAGGCACTAAATGTCGCTGCGACAGTCAGCGACAGATATCGATCGATAGCGCTATATATCGCACACAAATAGCCCAAAAAATATAGTGCTAAATTGCGCTACATGACGCTCGATAGCGTTAGATAGCGCAATATATCGAATTTCAACTATCGGTAAAGAACCCAATTCTAATATCCGTGATGACAGGCCAACTTCTTTATTTCAGTTATACTCGCCCTCTTCAGCACACTCGGAATCTTCATTTTCGCAAAGAAGCTGAGCGGGATTAGCACCACAATCGTAGATGGCATGAACAAGAACGAAACCGAGTCGGTGGAAGCAGAAGTAGATAGCACATGGTACAATGAGACCTGTGCTGCTGAGCCAGACGGGGCAGCTTGCCAACTTTGCGAGCCTTGTGCTAATTCCGGGGCTTGTGATGTTTGTGTGTCTAAACAGAAGGCATGCAAGGCATGTGAATGTGACCCAAATGGGAAGGGGTTCTTGTGCAAGTGGTTGAAGATCCCAATTTCAGCACCAAAAGAATCCAGCAATGCTACGAGCAACGGCACTGAAACAGAGGAAAAGAAACAAAACCCACTGGACGCGTTCCTAGGAGAACCTGAACCAGATTCACGGTGTTATAACGTTAGTTACGGAGCGAAAGGGATCAAGAGAATGTTCTGCCAGTTGTACGAGCTAACTGACAGTTGGCATTGCAAAGAGGAAGCTGATATCAAGGACAAGATAACATGCATAGCTGTAACTGTTGGGCAGGGTGCCAACAAGAGGTTCGTTATAGCGGCACTGCTCATGGTCAGTCTTGTTGGGCACCTCGTCAACCTGGGTGTTGCTATCTGGTGCAATGGTGACCAGGAGTCTGAGTACGAGCAACAGTCAGATGACAAAGATGGAGGGAATGGTGAAGATGCGGTTCCTCTCAATGCGGAGATGATTTAACAAGGTTCAACATTTAGCTGTTGGGACAGTGGATTATTTTATAAGATTTAAAATATATTTCTTTTATTTTTGTTACTTTTTATTCGAAAAATATGGACCGTGTTTTTATGTTTTATCTTTTCATTTAACTATTTGCAAGATAAATGACTTTATATAATCTTTTATACTATTTTTATTTGACTTTGAATTCATTTCGTTTAATGGAGATTTTGAGAAAAACGTTTTGTTATTAAGGTTTTCTTTTCTTATAACTGCATGTCGCACGACTAGTGACGACTTTGTGAAATTCACAATATCTTTATTGTTCTTAAATTGTTACTTTAATTTATTTTGTGACTTTTGACGAAGAGGGTATTTGATTTGATAGGACTGTCTTTAAGTTATGTAATATGTTAAGATTTATTTAAAGAATTAACAACATGGTGGCCCAAAAGTAACGCTATGTTGAGATCGCAGTGTGTTACTCGTTATACTAACTGTACGTTACTTTTGGGCCACCAAGTTCTATTAGAGTTTAAGAGAGAGTATTTAAGAGAGCGTATTTCAGAAGTATAGTACTTAAGTACAGAAGATATTTAAAATTGTCAAGACCTTGTTATTGTATAACGTATTTTTATTTAAGTTAACATTTAATGAATATGACAATTTAATGAATGACGTACCAAGCAATCTAAAAGTACGGTGTTGAGTTGCTTTTTTGGATAGTTTCATAACGGTTAGGTAAAGAAAACCGAGTTATTAATTTATATTACCCATATCTGGAAGTAGAAGAAATATTAAATATGGATTCTAACCTTTGGAGGTTGCCATGACCACCATATTCTACACTACCTAGTTCTACACTATCTGCAGCAAAACAATTGACATTTACTATGGGACTACGTTAATGATTCTAAAAGACAAATAATACCCGTGTAAACTGTAAAATGGAGTAAACCAGCAGTTAGCATGCAGCAACCAACTTTCTCAGAAAATAATAAAGCCACAAAACAAACGGTCAAAGTTCGTCCAATACATTGCAGAGAGGGCGGAATACATTGCAGGAGAGGACGAAATAAGAAATACAAATACTGTACAGGGATGAAGGAATGTTTCAGTGTATGGCAATCTTTTAAGGGTTCGGAAGTTGTAGAAAAGGGTGTATTATGAAGGAGCATGTTGTTAACAGTTGAGCATTATTAAGGAGCATGTTGAGCTTCCAGTTTGTGCGTTGCTTATTACATGTCATTACTTTCTGCTTAATGAGACTTGATAAATGAATTGTTTGTGACTTTTACTTCGTTATAAATGTTGATTTAAAATTGCGTCCCTTACTAAGGAACAAGCTGTGGAAACCTCCAAAACTAAGAATCTACCATTAATACTTCCTTTAACTTTTCACAGTAGTAAATTGTTCTCAAGCCTTACGGTCTAATTAAAAAAGTATATCATGGCCGGACCTTTGGATTATCCTGTATGACACTAATGATAATTGATTCAGTAAGTATTAATTAGTCACACAATTCTCTTAACCACAGAGATTTCTAAAGGGTCGCTGCGAGCTGTTGAGTAAGTAAGCATGCGCCATTAAGCAAAATACTAGTTTGTACCTAGTACTGTATCTAGTACTAAATTCATTCTTATAACGGTCACCTTTTACCAGCTTAAAAACTTGTCAAGGTAGAGAATACTCTTAAATATAAGCTCAGTTCTCATCCATACGTGTTCACCATTGGGCGATTTATCCAATCACTGCTAAGAAAAAAATGGGCAGTGCATGTCCTACTTTACTGTACTGAAAATTAACCAGTATTGTGTAAAACTGAAAGCTCTTTATTGGTATTCAATTATAACTTAAGTTATAATAATTGAATACCAATAAAGAGCTTTCAGTTTTACACAATACTGGTTAATGTATTATTGAATTGACTGTTTTGATCTTTTAAAAAGGTATTACTAAATAATAGGTCCCACGTGCTGCTCTCTGACTACAATACTTGTAGCTGCAGCTGTTGCACAGTGCACTAGAGATGTCTTGTTGTGTGGGAGCCCTCAGTGTGACTGCTGCGACTGTGTCGTACTTTGTCGCACTCTGTATGTTCTTTAAACCCGATGCTAAGATTAGTAAGTATATATATAAGTAAGATTAGTATTCTGGTTTCGGATTTGAATTGTTTTTATCAGTTATTGGATGACCAATCATCAGATTTGATCTTTAATTTTGTCAATGAAATAAATGATGTAGACATATTTATTCTGAACATCTGCATCTCGGATATTAACAAGTTTCTAATTTCAGAAGCGCTGAGGGTTGCAAGTTTTGCTATGTTGATTTTATTTCTGGCTAGTGTAGCATGTGTGGTCATCAGATGGTTTCAAGTTCTGACTAACAAAGGTAATTATACAATAACTTTTATGGTAATGTATACAATAGTTTATATCAGCTGAAGTGTCTCTATAACATCAAATGGGAAAAAAATCAAATCAGCCCCTGGTTGTTGCAAGACCTATAACATCATCTATCTTGTACAGTGTTCGATTTGTAAAAAAAACTATGTGGGTAGGACTAATAATAGCTTGCATAAAAGGATGGACGGACACAGGTCCAAATTTTATGAAATTATTGATGGTGGAGCATTTGATATTACTAGTGATGAGTATAGCCTAGGAGTTCGCTTGATTGACCACGGTTTAGGAGTGCAGGGGGGATGCAACGACCATTAATGACCATTAATGACCATTAATGACCATTAATGACCATTAATGACAATGTCAGTTTTGTCAAAATTTCATCTACTGACATTAATGGTCATGTTTTTTCCGGCACTTCTTAGAGCGAAAAGGACGGACGCCTGCATCACTTAGACCCTACCTTAAGTTAACTAACTACAAGTATATGTTATTATTTTACATTTACAATTAGAGATTCGAAAGAGAAAACGTAGAATAGAATCTTCCGTGGTTAGGTAGACCTTCCAGAATATCACTTGAGTGGATTCCAGAGTGAGTTAGGGATTACATTTATTAAGTTCGAATGTAATGAAAAACAAATTTTGCGGCCACGGGATTTAAACCAGATAACAGTTGTATTGGTGACTTATAGTTATATCAAGATTTATATTTTAGCCAAATCATTATGCTAGTCGATCATATAGTAATTACACAGTAGATGAACTTATTCAACTTTAGCACTTCATGAAATACATCGTCATCAGTCTGAATCGGACAACAAAAAAGCTGATCTTTCCCTAGGATTAGATAGAACAATTCTTTTACAGTTCAATACTCTGCCTTCGCAGTTTTGACCCAAAATCGAGCACTGTCATCATGATAGGGACAAATTGATGCGGCAGGAATTCGTCTAGATCTACAGTTGCCCTTTTTTGAAGCAGAGACACTCATTGATAAGATGGTACCGAGGCAACGAAGGGGACGTTTAGCCTTTTTTGGAACAAAGGTAGCACTTAATGAGTCGCCCTTTCGAATTGTTCGACGTTGACAGGGCTTAGAAGAATTTTTGCAGCCCGGTTGGTATTTATACTAAGTCAAATGCTAACAAGCAAACAGACAAGACAAGTTACCAACGTATAACAGAATGGTGCTTGGCACTCATTCCGAAACCGAGGTCCGAGCCTCTATTAGGCGAATATTAATTCGTTTTCTCAAACGAGACTCTGGCAATTATGTAGGGGGCTGTGAGAAATTATAAGTGATACAAGTGCAATTGTAATTTTTGCTGTTGCTTCAAGATAGTCAGAATTTTATATTTAGCATTAATACATTAATGACCATTTGACCATTAAGACCATAAGACCATTAATGCATTATTGTACAATGCAGTTTTGCAAATTCCACTACTGCATTAATGGTCGTTGATCCGAGTCTAAGATTTTAATGAAACTTTTATTTTGAGAATTGCAGCTCCCAGTACCACTTGCAAGGAACAGAAAATAACTACATACATGCTTAATCTTTGACCTTTTGGCCTTAATACTGTCAATCCCTTTGGATTATAAATTCCATAAACTTAATCTGATCTTTACCTTTTTCGGATTCAATTTGTAACGGCTGACATAACTTTACTTTATGAGGAACAACATATTTTGGGTAACCTCCTAAGGATTCTTCGCCAGGGAACTTTTCGCTAAATCCATATTAGGAACTCAACCTAGGCCCATCTCTGCATAGAGACATATCTCCCAGGCTTTGACCTTGCTCGGAAGTCCCTTGTCTGCCCGCAGAAGTACTACAACGGAAGTGGGTTTGCTCTGAGACAGGTAGTGACAGCTTCAAGACTCCAGGGGTCTGTTGCATTGATATTTATTATTTTATGATTTCGTATATACTTTGGGAGTCCTGGCGTGCAGCTAGCAGGAGTTGCATTCTGTGGGCACGGTGAGAAGGCCTCCATCTTTTAGTAAGAGGCCAGAAACCGTTGACCAGAACAGAGAGAGAGAGAGAGACTTATAGTTATCAATAATAATAATTCAAAGGGCAATTTAGGAGTATCAGATCGTATCAATAGTAAAATAACAATCAATAATAAAATAATAATAACACGGGTATTAAAATTAAATACTTCGTTCCCGTTCTTATATCATATCAAGATTTATATTTTAGCCAAATCATTATGCTAGTCGATCATATAGTAATTACACAGTAGATGAACTTATTCAACTTTAGCACTTCATGAAATACATCGTCATCAGTCTGAATCGGACAACAAAAAAGCTGATCTTTCCCTAGGATTAGATAGAACAATTCTTTTACAGTTCAATACTCTGCCTTCGGCAGTTTTGACCCAAAATCGAGCACTGTCATCATGATAGGGACAAATTGATGCGGCAGGAATTCGTCTAGATCTACAGTTGCCCTTTTTTGAAGCAGAGACACTCATTGATAAGATGGTACCGAGGCAACGAAGGGGACGTTTAGCCTTTTTTGGAACAAAGGTAGCACTTAATGAGTCGCCCTTTCGAATTGTTCGACGTTGACAGGGCTTAGAAGAATTTTTGCAGCCCGGTTGGTATTTATACTAAGTCAAATGCTAACAAGCAAACAGACAAGACAAGTTACCAACGTATAACAGAATGGTGCTTGGCACTCATTCCGAAACCGAGGTCCGAGCCTCTATTAGGCGAATATTAATTCGTTTTCTCAAACGAGACTCTGGCAATCTATGTAGGGGGCTGTGAGAAACTTTATAGAAGTGATACAAAGTGATCATAATTGTAAATTTCTTGGACATGTTGCTTCCAAGATAGTTCAGAATTTCAATTATTTAATGACCATTAATGACCATTAATGACCATTAATGACCATTAATGACCATTAATGACCATTAATGACCATTAATGACAATGTCAGTTTTGACAAAATTCCATCTACTGACATTAATGGTCGTTGCATCCCCCGGAGTGCATACAGATTTTAATGAAACTTTTATTTTAGAGAATTGCAGTCCCAGTACACTTGAAAGGAAAGAAAATAACTACATACATTTGCTTAATTCTCTTAGACCTTTTGGCCTTAATACTGTCAATCCCTTTGGATTACCTAAATTCCATAAACCTTAATCTGATCTTTTTACCTTTTTCGGATTCTTAATTTTGTAACGGCTTGAGTTTCACTAACCTTTTAACATTTTTTACTGGAGATGACTACAATCGAAATATATTTGGCAAGAATCTGAATGTTTTCAGTGTTGAAAGTTTAGTTTCTTAAATCCTGGAGTAGTCATTCGTGTCCCTGATATTTGGGTTAATTCTAACTCTCCTGTGTACGGTAACATATTTCAACATAGTTAGCTTTAGAGGTTCAAACAACGTACTGGGTCGACATAGTTAATTTTAGAATTGTTATAAAGGTCATTTAAAAGCATACTATAACCTGCTTTTGTTTCAGGGAAGTTGGGAGAAAATAACTACTATCACAAAAGTGAGTACCGTAATGATAAATTTCACTAAATACGATCATATTATAATCAACAACTAAGAAAATATATAAAAGGTCACTAAAGAACAAGATAAATATTGCCTTGCATTTTAAGTATCGCAAAAGACGATCTAAATACATCTAATACTCCTGAAAAAAAAACTTTAATGACTAGTAATCCTCAGAATACCAAGCGAGTATACTATTAAACTAAAATTAATAACTAAAAGTTGGTACCGTTATTTAAACTGAACATTATTTCAGAGCGGAAGCAGTTTCGAATAGCACAGATAGTTCTAGGAGCAATGTGTAGTAAGTGTTAAAGTCTTAAAATGCCTTTCTTTTAAAGTTATGCAATAAAACAAGAATTCCATATGCCGTCTTTTGCCTCCGGAAAAGACAATACTGGAAAAATCAGAAATTAATAATAACCATAAATATAATGTATCATAGTGAGATTGAAATTTTAGGAACAAGTATCCAATCAATGCATCAAAATAATATAGATGTTAACTTTAAGTCAATATCTCAAAAACTTCCTATTTTCAGCACTATTTGTGTTAGTATCTGCTGCAGGGATATTCCTGTTCGCTTCAGCAGTAACAAATCTGACTGGCGGGTTGAAAGACAGGTCCAACAGCATGTTCAGTACTGCAGATAACAGCTCTAGTAACGCTACAATAACTAACTCAACTGATACTCAATCAGGTGGGTTCAGGGAGAAGAACGTGCAAAGAAGTCTCCAAAGACCAAATGCTGAGGACACAAGCGGGCTACAAACGAGGAACAAACGACTGGAGAATAGCAGAGAGAGGAATCTCTCGGAATGTAGAAGAGCGGGGAATTGTAGAGACGGAGAAGAAAGCACAGAATCGTCTCTAACAACTGAACCGATCCCTGACGATAAAGATCACTGCAGGAACCGCACAGCTTACCCCAGACGGAAAGACAGGAACAACTGTCTCGGTAGAGAGGGTCTCAAGCAGAAAGTGACGGGATTTGTGAAGGACAAGTACATAATGTCAGGGTTCCTAGGGGTTAGCTTTATTGGGCACCTGATAAACGTGTGTGTAGCTTTGTGTTGCCATGGAGACCCAGCAGATCCTGAAGAAGAAGGATACGAGGAGCAGGAACAAAGTGAAAAGGAAGAGAAGGAGGAGAAGGAAGAGACGGTCTGATTACTGAATATTTAGAGAGACGAACTAAGAAAGACGCTCAAATGTTGGTTGTAGGTTGAGGCTGAGGTATCTATACTATATACTTGGTATATTTAACCATCTATAGATGGTACTTGTACTTGATTATTGGGAGTTGTACAGCAATTTACTAAAGCTGACTACATGTTAAATATATAATGTATATTATTAAAACTAATAATCTCTTAAACCGGTGAATTTAAAAACATTGACAGTAATTAAAAAGGTACTAAATTATTTGATATCTGACTTTCATATTTCGTTATTTAATATAAATATATACTGCTCTGTGTGCCCTCTGCTGCTCTACTGTCTGCACCTGTCATGTGTAACAACAGTTTGTGTCGCCTAGCTTGCACACTGTGTTACTTGTAACAATAAGACAATAGTGTTCATGGCAAATTCCGCACATTTAGTGCACCAGGTGCAAGATTTAGCAGAGTTATATCACGCACAGGATCATGACACTGAATATGGAGGATCGATCTAGCGACCTACAAAGTCTAAAGAGGAACTGCGAACCCTGATGCGGGACAGGGATATATGGAGGGGGTTATCTGGCGTAGATCGGACTTAGTTCCGACATAGTAGTAGTAGTAGTATATCACGCCGACACTTGATAAACTTATATATATAACTTGATTCTATTACTCAACTTTTAATACTGATGACTGTACATAATAACTTTCTTGATTATTTTAAACTCTAAATTCTAATATATATAAATACTTTTTTATTAACCGTATTTTACTTACTAAATTATTTCCTATATTCTGAATTCTAAATACAATCACTTTTTAATCACTGTAAATATTATATGACTTCCTAAATTGTTTTACAAATTTACTACTTATAATATTATTTCTAAAATATCTTGACAGATTTTGGAGTACCTTAAATTATTTCATTATCTTAATTTGTGAGTTGTATATAAACTGGTGCTAAACTCCCTCTGTGACAATCGCCTTTACTCTGGTTATACGTGTAGTTATACGTGTAGTTATACGTGTAGTTATACGTGTAGTTATACGTGTAGTTATACGTGTAGTTATACGTGTAGTTATACGTGTAGTTATACGTGTAGTTATACGTGTAGTTATACGTGTAGTTATACGTGTAGTTATACGTGTAGTTATACGTGTAGTTATACGTGTAGTTATACGTGTAGTTATACGTGTAGTTATACGTGTAGTTATACGTGTAGTTATACGTGTAGTTATACGTGTAGTTATACGTGTAGTTATACGTGTAGTTATACGTGTAGTTATACGTGTAGTTATACGTGTAGTTATACGTGTAGTTATACGTGTAGTTATACGTGTAGTTATACGTGTAGTTATACGTGTAGTTATACGTGTAGTTATACGTGTAGTTATACGTGTAGTTATACGTGTAGTTATACGTGTAGTTACACGTGTAGTTATACGTGTAGTTATACGTGTAGTTACACGTGTAGTTATACGTGTAGTTATACGTGTACTTATACGTGTAGTTATACGTGTAGTTATACGTGTAGTTATACGTGTAGTTATACGTGTAGTTATACGTGTAGTTATACGTGTAGTTATACGTGTACTTATACGTGTAGTTATACGTGTAGTTATACGTGTAGTTATACGTGTAGTTATACGTGTACTTATACGTGTAGTTATACGTGTAGTTATACGTGTAGTTATACGTGTAGTTATACGTGTAGTTATACGTGTAGTTATACGTGTAGTTATACGTGTAGTTATACGTGTACTTATACGTGTACTTATACGTGTAGTTATACGTGTAGTTATACGTGTAGTTATACGTGTAGTTATACGTGTAGTTATACGTGTAGTTATACGTGTAGTTATACGTGTAGTTATACGTGTAGTTATACGTGTAGTTATACGTGTAGTTATACGTGTAGTTATACGTGTAGTTATACGTGTAGTTATACGTGTAGTTATACGTGTAGTTATACGTGTAGTTATACGTGTAGTTATACGTGTAGTTATACGTGTAGTTATACGTGTAGTTATACGTGTAGTTATACGTGTAGTTATACGTGTAGTTATACGTTTACTGCTTGTACTGAGATACGGGGAGTAACTGCAAGTTTTGTGTCTTACATAATAATCTGTTTTTACAATTAATCTTTACTTATTTGATGATCTGTTAAAACCATTGATACAATATTTTGACTGGCTAGTGGGATTTATAGTATTTAACCAATCATATGCTATTTTTATCTTTTGTCTTTTTCTAATATCGATAACAAAATATTGTATAATACATTCTTATTTCTTAGTTCTGACGTTAAAATTTGTACATGATATTTTAACTTTGTAACTTGATAGTACATTTTATAGTATAGAGCTATGTTATGTGTCGAACTGTGTATCAAGCTCTAACTCCTGGTATTATTTTTATATCTAAATGTTTTAACTTTTTAATGCAAATATTCATATTTGTAATTGAACTTTGAGTTTCATTTGTTCGATCAAACAGACATAACGCTGCGATCTCGAAATTACTATTCTAAAATATTTTAGTCCTTTCAACTCCTCTCTGTTATTCCAGAGGATGAAATTTAATTAAAAACTGGAGTTTGGAGTAGGAGCCTAGTCTGGAGGTTTTGGAGACAATCTATCAACCACGTTAACTATATACATAGGATTATGTTTAGAGTTGGGTTGTGAGATAACAAGAAATGTGGCCGCTTTTATTTTGTGGATGGCCGCTCAATTTCCCGATCCGTGATGGCTTATTTTATTATATTCAATATGACCTGGGTCCCCAGTCTTTGCTGTTTATAAGTGTGCAGATATAGCGGAATGACAGGCCGAGCACCGCCCAGTTAATTCCATATTGAATTTGAAAATCGTGTAACTGTATGTTTATTGTTTGACTTTATTGTTTATGCAACCTGACACGGATCTGTGCAAAATAGTAATACTAACAATAATAACAATATGCTATTATAATAAGTGCCTAGTGGGATACGTACATATCATGGTGAAATTTACAGTTTAGTTGGTCAGTTCAGTGCCGCGCGACAACAATTATTTAATTCAGAATATCTCGCAAAATAACTTTGCGCAGGCAAGAACGTGGGCGACATATAGGGCATAGGCGCGCGGGCACGTACGCTCGCGCGGGCACGCATGCTCGCACGCACGGTCGCAAAGCTACATATCAAAAAAAACCTCGATCGCTAACCCTTGTCCTTGACTCTTTTGTGCCTTCGGCACTTCGAGTCATGGATCGGGAAAAAATAGCCGATCTCTTGACATGAACATGTAGTGACACTAGCTAGCAGACCTAGCTTAACCCGGTTGCACTTACGGGGGTATACACCGAACCTGTCCAACCCAAATGACCTCATAGGCAGTTCAGTGACCATCTAGCGCACCGTTTCCACAGAAAACAAATTATTTGATAATGGGGAGTGCGAGAAGGCGGTGAAACATCTAACAGAACGTGCTCTGACGGCGATCGAAGAAGTCTCTGATGAAACGAAGAAACAGACCACCCTCATCACACAGCAGACTGCAACTCTCATCTCTGAAGCCCCCTCGCAGAACCTCGACACTTCCAGAGAAGTTACAAGTATGCCTCATTCGCCGGTAAGACTTTTAGAGTGCGATCTTTCCGAGTTAACTTTTGATAAAGTTTCAAGTGAGCAAAACTTCGACATGCACCACCCTGGAGGCCGTATCACAACTTATTATGGCTCCGTCCCCTACACGTACGGCAGAACCTCACATCCTGTCTCTGTTGGGCCACTTCCACCCACTCTGGAACGTGTGTACGAGCAACTGCAAAAACTGGACGCTGACATAACCCCAGAGAACTACACTTGCCTTTGCACTTTATACAAGGACGGATCGGTCGGCATACCGATGCATAAAGACAGCGAACCTAGCATAATGGAGGATAGTCAAATTTATACAGTGTCGATTGGAGCACCTAGAAACCTTAGGATATCAAGTACAGTAGGCCCCTTTGTCGAGCGTAACATTCCACTTGTGCACGGTTCACTTTACGTCATGTCACGAGCAGATCAGGACAACTGGCGCCACGGCATTGACCGCGATATCTCGGCAAGGTTTCCACGCATTTCACTGACTTTCCGCAAACTGAAACAACAAGAGTCATGCACTGTGCCTGCACCTCCAGCTCTCCATCGGATACCACCTGTTGCCCCTCCAGCTCAGAACTCCTCCTCTCAGTCTCGTCACTCCAGGGTCCTATTCATTCATGACTCTATTCATCGTGAAACACCTGAATGGTTGTTCGATCAGATACCCGGCCACCGCTGTCAGAAGCGTTTGAACTACCAGCTCATAGACTCTTTAGATCATGACCTCAAACATGCCAAAACTGTGATCATCTCATGTGGCATAAACGATCTTTCACGGTATGGAAAATCTGCCAAGAGTCTGGCTGATAACTTTTGTCCCCGCCTTGTCGAAAGCTGTAAGAGCAACAAAAGCACACAGTTTGTTTTTTGTGCTTTGTCTTTAACTAGAATTGGTTGGTTGAACAGAGAAATTGATGATTTTAATCTATGTATGGTGAATCTCGCCAGGGTGATTCCCAATCTGACATTTTACGATGCCCATGCCGTTATCAAGCGGGTTCATTCATACTACGTATGGGACCGCAATGATAAGCATGGCATCCTTTTACATCACGATGTCAGAAGGGCTGTTGCATATGAACTTGTCAACTGCGTTGGCAAGTTATGTGGATCAGAACTGCCACGCCACAGGAACTGTGCGTGGCTCTACCACCATGAGCCTAACAGTCCTTTCAGATATCACCGTGGTTGAGCACTAATCCATAAATGAATTAATAATTATATAAAAATCAACCTTTTCTGTCAAGCCCTTAAATTATGCATATCATCAAGTATTTTCATATCTTTTTCAGTACATCCTCACTCCTCATCCAAATTCATCATTTGATTGCTACCACGATCGATTTTTGAAGAAATGATCTGATTGGTCGAAAATGCTTATCTTCTTAAGCTTATCAGATGAACTGATGAACATTCTTTAACTATCAAGCATTTTTGTCTCTTATCATCCCACCATACATTTCCTAAAACATTTTCACATTACCAAACAAAACTGTGCACATTTTATTTAATAATCATAGAAGCTTCTCTGGTAAATCAGCATCAAGCACGTTTCCTCAGTCAAAGTTCAGTGCAACAGTATTTTCGAAAACTTCACAAACAACTAAATAGCAAAAATCACCACACAAAACTACACAACGAAACAATTTCACACAACAACATACAAATCACAACGACTTAATATACACTTTAGGTAAAGTCATATTATCATACTGATAAGCCCGAAAATCGAGATAAGGGCACTATATTGTAACATTTGATTTAGCGAATATTTTTAACAAATAAGTAGATAAGACTCAGATCACGATTCTGTAGCATACAGGACCTCCGGTTCTCGTGAAAGAATCTGATTTGCACTAGTATAGATATATTTTACGTTATTTATAAATTTATACATTTTTTATTCTCTAATTCCTCCACAAGCATAAGAGTTAACTTAAAATGGCAGCGAATGGAAATGTTACTGATACTTCTGGTCATAAAATCAAAATAAAATGTGGTAGCTGTAGCGGCTGGTGTTATTCTTCCAAAAACATCCGCAGCTGTTCATGGTGCCAAAACAACGTCCACGTCAAATGTTTTAAGGAAAATTTAGGTTGTACAAGCTGTTGTGAAAGTCTTATTCCTGGATTTTACGCGACTTACTATGAAATTTACGATGACTACAATAAGCTTAATTGCGCTATTTATAATCCATACGCTCAAAATAGTCGATGTAATCTTATTGGAGACGCCATGACCAATGAAGAGCACCAGGATTCAACATGGAGTGACATTTCGGCTTTCCTAACTCACTGTCAGTATAAACAGCAACGTAACGTAAAAAGGTCGACATCCTCTCAACTTAAAACATTTTCCATGAATATCAGATCCCTTTTCAAAAATATTGATCAACTACGAGAAGATATAGAAATATATGATAAGTATGATGTATTGTGTTT